AAAAGCTAGAAACTTCTCTATCTGGGTGTGGTGAAACACAGCTGTAATCCCAGCATTCAGGAGGCTGATTAGGAGGATTGCCATAGGCCAACCTGGGCTACGTAGTGAATTTAAGACCAGCCTAGGGCCAGCAAGATAGCTCAGCGGACTAAATGCCTGCTTTGGCAAGTGCAGTGACCAGGGTTGGATCCCCAGTCCCAAATGCAGGGCTGGCCCCACCCCTAGGGCAACCAAGTCTGGGGGTGGTGGCACACCCCTGTGATCCCAGAACTGGGGAGACTGAAAATAGGAGGATTACTATGAGTTTGAGCTGCATAGTGAGACCCTGTACCAAATACATAAAATAAAAAAGGAAGAAGAAGAAGAAAAAAAGAAAAAGGAAAGCAACCCAAGCAGGTGTGGGGACTAAAAACACCTATAGAAGCCAGAAATGAATCTCTAAGAGAGGCAAATCCTGCCACGATTATAAACCATCAAATTTTTTAAAAGCCAAATTAAAATGGACTTTAGAGCCTTTTCTAATAAAAGAGATTAGCCTCGGATTGATACAGTTGTTTTCTGAGAAGCTTTGGCTAAAGATTTGTATGGAAATATAAAATGAAAAAAAGAAAAAAGAAATTAAAAATAAATTTAAAAAATAAAAATAAAAGCGAAGAGTTTGTGTGGGAGGAGTGTAGAACTATTGCTATGAAAATCTAGCTTGGATATACACTTAAAATTTTAGCATTAAAATTGGGCTTACATGCATTTTGGTCCTTTAAGATCAAATATGGAAGAGGCCTCAGAGGTAAGTTAATTTAATGCACATGAAAAAATGTTAGCCATTGAATGTCCACTGTCTTCCAGCTACTATCTTGGTCCTTTTCTGTGTATTATCTCTGTTAACAACCACAAAGATCAGGACACTGCACGGGATAGGCATTATTATCCCTGTTTAACTGCCAAGCCGTCTGAGACTCAGAATCACGCGAGGGTGTGCACTGCTGCGGTGCAGGGCGCCCACGCTGACTGCAGCCCTCTCACCTCCACAGGTGGCCCCGGTGAAGTACCTGCGAGTCAGCAGCCAGCCCAGACTGTACACAGCCCCGGGAAGGACCCTGTCGGCCTTTCCCGTGGGCATGGCTCTCACCTTCATGGGTCACTTTTACAGTAGCATCGGAGAGAAATTCCACACCCACAACACTCAGCTTTATCTATCTCTGAACAGGTATGATATGCAGGTCAAAACAGCATTTTTGCAGGGTGTGGTGACACACATCTAAATTTCCAGCACGGTGGGAGGCTGAGGCAAGAGGACTGCAAGTCTGAACCCAACCTGGCCAACTTAGTGGCAGCGAGACCATGTCTGAGAATACAGAAGGACTAATGTAGTTCAGTAGGAAGGGCTTGTGTTCAGTCCCTAGTACTACAGAATAAAAGTTCTTGGCAGTGTGGTAGAAAGCTTACATACTAGGCTAGCAGCTCCATTAACTTCTTTCATATTCAAAACTTAAAATCTGGGGGCTGGAGAGATGGCTCAGTGGTCTAAAGCACCTACCTGAAACAAGCTTGGCAAAGCACAGGGACCGCGGTTCAATCCCCCAGCACCACATGCCAGCCAGCCCCGCCCCCTGGTGGGCTGAGCTGGCCACACACAC